CCTGCAAAGCACCGCAAAGGACGCTCCGAAACCTGCATGCTGGATCGGCAGCGCCTGCGCCTCACTGTAAACGAGTATTGCGGGGCAGCACGCAACACCAGCAGGCCGGTTGTGGCGGACTGACGATGCTGCTTCGCTGGCACTTGATGAGCGCACTTTTGCGAAGGGATTGTGCATGGAGAGCATGAACTCGAGGTCACTCTTTGCTGCTTCGAGATACTCTCAGCTTGACAGGGGTCAACAATCGTGCTAGGGGCCGGCGTTCCGTCTCCACCTTCGACTCTCGCTGCAAGGTTCACCCTCACTTACAGATCTTTGAAGTGACGTCTGGCCTCTTGCAATGGCATCACCAGCGTCGGTCTCTGCCCGCAGCTGCAGATTCTTCGGCGCCGTTTCAAAAGCTGCGGGCGCGTTGTTGTCAGCGCATGCGGCATGCACACCCACCAACGTGGAGCTTGTGACTCAGACTTACCCAGCCGCCAGCGCGTCTTAGAGCTTGTATTATTGTCAACCGGCTATCAAGAATTTCCAACGCAGTCATGCACGCTTTGTTTCCCTTTGTCCACGATTCGCACTGCTCTCTCGTACAGGGATGAACCTGTCACCTATCCTGGGCCTCCACTTGCTCTCGAGCTCGTCCTCTATCACCAACGTCAACATTCAACACCTGCAGCAAGCAAGGACAGGCACCTCTCTTCACATGCACGCTTGATAGCATTGTGTGGCTGGAGGCGTCCTCGCAAAGGTTACACAGTGCGGAGCACGGCTCGCTCGCGAAAGTCGCGCAAGCAACTGCAAGCCTCATTGCTCGTTCTGAGCCCGCGGGACGGCACGTTTGTGAAGGGAGTACCTGTTCACATGCAGGACACACCGTTCACAGACACGGAGCCACACTCACCCGAGTATGTTTTAGTTCGTCTGGACGGCAGACATATCAGTGCTCCCCGTCGTCTCCTATTCATCAGTCCTCAACGAATGTCCTAACAGCAGTCGTCACCATTCGGCAATTTAGATGCACGTCAAACAGAATAGGGAAATTGTTGAGAATCAGCGGGACCAGGGCTTCAAGTTCGGGTGAGTGTGGTTGTGGTAAGATTTCCCGAAACGGGGGCTAAAATCTGGTCTGGCCATGCTAAAAGAGATGGTGGTGTGTCGATACTGCCGCCCTATGGATCCCTGAAGGCAGCGCTGGGCGTCCGGGGATGACGGAAGTCCACAACTCTTAGTTCGATATTCACAATTACTTGCATGAGGCATCCACTTCAGGAGCACTCCAGGAGATGAAGAGATGATGGCTAAGCGATCGGGGAGTTCGGGAGATGAGGTCGCTTGGTAACCTTTTAGGAACCTCCCTGTACTTGGCGACCGCAAGCACAAGCGTAGAGCTGTTGATGAGGCTTGCAGAGGTCGACAACATCAAGCAAGCCTTACTGTGCAATGTTCCGATGGACCAGGCTCTCCCATACGGTGCTCCACGACGCACACTCCATCACTGCTCGACGCCGGCGCTTCGCAAAACATGCCGTTGTTCGATACCCACTTGCACCCAGAATCATGGCATCGCTTGCGAAGACGGCCCACATCCTCTATGATCCTTCGGTATGCATCGACAGTTACCGCGTCACTCGCAAGCTGTGCATATCGATGTGCAAACATAACACTTCCAGAAGTGTCTCGGCTACAGGCATAACGTACGGGGAGAGGCATACCGATCAAAGAAGAAATGTCTTAAGGTTACAGCCACACTTGGACACTGTGTCAACACAGTGACACAGTGCATTTGCGTAACCTCAACACTATGCAAAAGTAGTCTTCAATCAATATTTCGAAACACTGGACTGCAGGCAAGATTGCTTTTGCCTTGGCCAAACGACACCTACGGTCTCCTTCTCAAGAGATTTCGATCGCATCAAGGCCCCTTTGCTTTTCGTTTTGAAGATCCTCCGTTGCTCGACTGCTAGCAATCGGAAATTTCCAGGTGGTGAGACTACAATAGAGCGTCTATCAACGGCTGTGCCATGGGAAACTGCGTGCAGAAGATAGATGTCTACATTTTGAGATGGTTGAATGGTCTTGCATCGACTATGACATTGACTTCCAGCTGTGCATGATGTTTTTATTAAGGATCCATTACTCAGTGCTTGTAGTTGTACTCGAAAAAGAATTCCAAAGGATTCTTAGACAGCATATCAGAAGACACACAGCTTACAGATGATTAAAGACAAAATACAGATCCATCATAGCAATGATGTTCATGAATCGTTGTCATCCCCATGTGCCGACAATAGCCTCGGAAAGGTCACGTGCGTATCAACCTCTTCGGGTAATCGGATCTTACTCAGCAGTCTGGAATTCATGACGATGCATCTGCCGAGCAGGTCAGAACTGCCGATATCATGCTCAGCGCACAAGACCTCGCTATCCAAACCAACATCGTCGGCAGTTCCCACCAGAATCTGCACGGAAGATACGGATTTCTATGGCGGTGCTACACCGGGGCGTGGAGAGAGATAATCATGCTTCAGTCTTTGCGTGCACTGCACACCTTGATCGCAAAAGCGTGGCGGTCGCAGCATAGCGGGCCTGTTGGAGCGCAAAACACAGTCAATATCGCGCGATCTGAAGCTACGACGAGAGACAAGGTGAACATTCATGGTGTTGATTACCCCGCGGCCCCGGATCGCTCCCCACATGGGGCAGCCGCGGCTCCGCTGCATCATCAAACGTACCAACTCAGCACCCATTTCGCAACTGCCGATACACTCCTGTCTTACGTAGCCCAACAGGATGCCGAATGTCAACTGCAGGCGTGACGCTGTTTGTCAGATCTCGCCCGATCGGTGGCTTCAAATACCATGACGCTCCCCCAGACAGCCATGACAAGAGTGTGCCTCCCTCTTGCCTTAACCTTCAACTTCCCAAACCGTGCTGAAGCCACAAACGATGCTCCTTAACGAAGTCTTACCGCTCCTGATACGGTATTGGCCTATCGTGTTGGTGTCTCTTGTTGCAGGCCACCTCATCAGCAACAAGTACTGGAAGGGATTGAACAAATACCCCGGGCCGGCACTAGCAGGATACAGCAATTGGTGGAGGCTACGAGATGTATCGAAGAAGAACCATCACTGGACGACAATTGCCTTGCACCGTGAACACGGCGACGTTGTCAGACTCGGGCCTAATGTCCTTTCTTTCGCGGATCCTAGGGCTATCAAACAGATCTATGGCCTGAACAAGGGTGTTTACAAGGTACGTACTGAAGAATCGCTCACGGGTACTCGAGCTGACTTTGGACAGTCGGACTTCTATCCGGTACAGGGTGCTGTCGCGAACGGCAAGCCTCTGCTCTCCCTGTTCTCTACGACTGACGAAGACTTCCATGCGAAGTACCGTCGTTGCGTCAACAACGCCTTCGCAATGAGCTCACTGGTCAACTACGAACCTCTTGTCAACTCAACACTCACATACTGGCTCGACAAGACCGAGGCGATGTTTGCCAACACTGGAACAAGCTGCAATTTCAGCCAGTGGCTGCAGTTCTTCGCTTTCGATGTCATTGGCGACTTGACCTGGAGTAAGCGCCTCGGCTTTGTGGAGGGTAACAAGGATGTCGATAACATCATCGGATTCTTGGGCAAGTTCTTCGACTACGTGGCACCCGTAAGTCTCCCTTATGTTTGACAGCATCAGCTCTTGCTCACTCTCATCCAGGTCGGACAAATGCCCATCCTCGACCGTATCCTTTGGAAGAACCCTATCAGCCTATTCGCGCAGCGCATTGGTCTCGACAAGCGCGTCCACCCCGTTACTCTCTTCGCGCTGTCACGCTCCAACGAGCGTGCTCAGCAAGTCTCCAAGATCAAGAAATTCGGCCTCAGTGACGATGAGCGCGCAAACCCGCGTGGTATCGATTTGCTTTCCAAGTTTGCCCAGGCCTCGCACGACCACCCCTTCATGGACGACAACCGCATCCTATCCACCTGCGCATCCATGGTCTTCGCTGGCAGCGAAACAACCGCCATCAGTCTCTCCGCTGTCTTCTACTTCCTGGTCAAGCACCCGCATGTGTACAAGAAGTTGATGCAGGAACTCGACGAAGCAGCTGCAAACGGCACCATCGAGGAGCGGGACGACAAAACCGTCTCCTGGCCCGAAGCCCAGAAATTGCCCTACCTCGACGCCGTCGTCCAAGAAGCCTTCCGCTTGCATCCCGCTCCAGGCCTCATCCTTGAACGCGTCGTGCCCAAGCAGGGCATGAAGATCGCCGACGAGTTCATCCCCGGCGGCACAATCGTCGGCTGCAACGCTTGGGTGATCCACCGACGTCCTGAGATCTTCGGGTCCGACGTCGATTCCTTCCGGCCCGAGCGCTGGCTCGAGGCGAGCCCGGAGAAGCTGAAGGAGATGAAGGGGAGCATGTTGCAGTTTGGTGCGGGCGCGCGGACGTGTATTGGCAAGAACATCAGCTTGCTCGAGATCTACAAGCTGGTTCCTAGCTTCCTGAGACGGTTTGAGATTGAGCTTGAGTACCCTGGCGCCGAGTGGAAGACGCATAATGCGTGGTTTGTTACGCAGAAGAACTTCAACACGAGGTTCAGGCCGCGAGTCTCCAAGGCGGAACAATAAAGTATAGGCGCGGGGCAAAGATGATTACGATTCTCTAGTGTAGCGTTCAAGCGATCAAATAGCAATTTCCACCATATATACATACAACAAGACTTCGAACTTTCTTGGCTCCCTCGTCCGTCGACTGCTACATGTAACTTGCCATTGCGAACCAACTCGCCACGTCTTCTCCTGCGAACCCTTAGGTCTATCTCATCGTTGATTGTGCGCGTCTCGAGTCTCGGAGAGCGCACTGGCGGATCTGCGTCCTGAGCGAACAACCTTGCGTTCCGACAGGTTGTTGGTCGGCACCGACGTTGACCTCTTCGTGTGCTAAACAGACCTCCATTGATGATGACTGCGAGAGCTTCAATCTGGCAAAAAAAGATGCGTACGGGCTGGGAGGATCGAACTCCCGACCTTCTGCGCTTTCAGTTGACACTGTAAAGCAGACATCATGACCACTAGTGAATGTTAGTATAGACTATTTGGTTGAGCTTCAGTGTTACGTACCTAGACTAAGCCCGCGAATTACTATTGTAATTGCTAGTTTGATGACATAAGCACCATGAGAAGCGTTTATTACTCACGTCAACATGAACAGTCCGGTGCAGCTCTTCGTTCAGGAGACTCGCTCTGAACGATAGCAAGCGATCATCCGGGGTACGGACTCGGCGTTCCATGACGTACCACCTGTTTTGGCCACTCCATCCACTCACTCCAGTACGGACCGAGGCACTGATCGATTACCTCAACTATACTCCTCCCGCAACCTTCCATCCACCAGTGGTAGTCCAGCCCGTGGATCAAAGCCCCAAAGCACGCAAATATGATCATGGCCGGTGGCTGTCTCTGTCTGAGAAGCTCAAAGTACGCCTCAGGCGCAACAGTGATCCAAATGAAAGGTCCGGACCCAGGGAGGTAGTTCGCTTTTCGAGGGCTCGCGTGATCACCCCAAGTGGCAGATTGTTTCAACCACATGTTGCACTGTCGTAGCGCTGAGAGTGTTTGGTCGTAGACAGTAGCTTGGGCACTGCCATTCGAATCTTCTTTGCGCCAGATGTCACCGATCCGATTGATTCTTTGGTCGTCAGGGTCGTCAATCGTATCTGGTTGTAGCTCCATCCACTTGTCAATATCGAGCAAAGAACTCAGTGGCCCCAAAGCAACCTGTTGGTGAACACGATCCAACACAGGGCGCAAACCGCGGATCAGAGGGATCCATGAAGCACCCAAAACGCGCGATGTATAAGCGGCGGCGTCCACTCCCGCGTCATCGTTGTAGAGTGGTCCAAAAGAAATGAATGCGTAGAAGGACGTCAGCACGGCATTCGCAAAGATGCAGTTGTCGTCCTCTGGCTCGCTGTCTTCTTGTAGGCTCTCCATCAGTCCCGTGACGGCCTGGCTGTGGTGCTGCCCCGCGACCATCATGGCTGTGTCGCGTTTGGCAGGGTCGAGATAGGCGCGGTGTAGAGCTGAGATGCTGAGAAGCCTGCTCATCAAGGCTCCGCTCTTGAAGGCGAATTGTGGGAATCCTGATTGCCAGATGTAGTTCACTGAAGGGGATTGAACTATGTTGGGACTAGTGACCATGGTCCAGTGGTGGAGCAGTGCGAGGTCGCTCAGCGTGTAGAGGGACGAGTCTAAAGCGACATTGCTCTCATATCTGGTGGGATAAGGATCAATTGGAGTCGACCCTTGCTGAGAAGGTGTTGCAGCCGGGGTGGATGCACTTATCGATCGTGCTGCGCTTCTCCGTGTGGCCACTGGAGGTTCTGACTGATATATGCATTTGACAAGATGACGCACGCAGTGCGTACAGGAAGGCTTCTCCTCATCACACTTTTGAGTCTTAGTCAGAAACGTATGTCGAGGAACACAAGCTCGTGTGGTACCTTGATACGCCGGCGCTTGCATTCGCTGCATCCTGCCCGGGACTTGCGATGTGCTCTACGTGTCTGGCCCATTGCAGACTAGTGTGCGTACATCCCTGGCTGGGAGAAAGATGACTGGAATTGTGACCTGATCAAACGTGGCATTCCCGTGGAGGTAAGAGTAGAAAGGAGCTGACTGTTCTGTGAGGTCCATCGATGCGAAAAACGAAGTACGCCCCCTGTTCGGCGGCACTAGCTCACAATAGGAATGGCCGCGCTATCGAGATCCTCAATTGGAAAACGACAACGATTGTATTCCTTGAGAACTCATACACTGTCACTCTCCTGGAACAGACCGATCGCGCTCCCGGACCTTCGTGTATTCGCACTCACCAGTCATGGATGTTCACTGGTGGCAGACTCCATGCAGCTAAGCCATCTTCGGCTCTTGAATCGGCACACACGGGCCTTGCGAGAATACGAGGGTACCAGCCAACCCAAACATCTTTGCTAGGTCTAAATACTATACCAAACTCTCCTGGAGAACCGGTTCTGTTTTGAAGCGATGGAATATTCGACTGGGAACGAAGCACGGAAGGACACCTACAACGCTTCATTGCTCCGATTACGCGAGGCCAAATGGTACGCTTTCGATTTGGACGACACTCTGCACGGCTTTCGCAAAGCGTCATCAGCCGCAGTCAAAGCAGTGCTCGAAGTGATCCACAAGAACAGCGACTGCGCACTGGAAGAGCTCGAATCGGAGTATAAGCGCATTCTCACTCAAGGAACATCCTCGGCATTTGTTGACGGCAAGACATCCCATCAATATCGTGAAGATCGTTTCCGGCAGCTTTTGCAGGTGCACAACATCAACTTGGACGACGCGCAGATGCAAGACCTCCTAAGTCTTTACGAAAGGGTTCTCACAGAAAACCTAGAGCTCAAGCCAGGCGCACTGGAACTCCTCCAGACGCTCAAGCGACGCGGACACAAGATTGCGGTCATCACAGAGGGCCCACAAGACGCGCAAGAGCGAACGGTAGAGGCCTTAGGTATAGCTTCGTACGTGGATTATCTGGCAACTACGAATAAATTGAGAGTCCCAAAGATCGATGGTTTATTTGTAAAGGTGCTGGGACATCTGGGACTTCGTCCGGAAGACATGATCATGACCGGCGATAGCTAGGAACGAGACATTGCGCCTGCGACACAAGCTGGAATATATTGCGTCTTCTACTCCGAAGTTGAACGAGCTTTGGAATATCCGACTCAACAGACACAAATCGGACATTTTGAGGAATTTCTGATGCTCGTTGAAACTGCTCACCGTTAAACGGATAATATACTGCTCTTCATTGGAGCATCGGAGATTGGAAATGAAGTAAGAACAGTCACCATACATCCCAACAGCATTGTCTCCAACATTCCTTCAATCCTAAAATCGTTCAATAATCTTCTTCGGCAAGGCACCAGAAGACTTCTTCGCCTCATAAATCTGCAATGGGGCACCCTTCTCCGTCATGACCAGCACTGCCGCTCCTAGACTTGTGCCTTCCACCGTGATACGTCTCAACTCATTCAAAAACCATGCAAGCCTCAGCAAATGCTTTTGGTTCCTCACCTCCCACTCTTCGAATTCGCCTTGCGTGATTTGAATCACATCAGGCGCCTCAATAAGGCCTCTAGAGCCCTCCTTGTGCCTTGCGCAGCAGAGGTACGGCGTACGTCCAAACCACATTTGTTCAAACGCTGCGCCCTTGCTGCTACTGCTCTTTAGCTCCAGGGTTTTATTGTGCGGCACCACGGTGCCTTGCGCGATGACAAGGGTGTGGTGGGGACTGGGATGTTCGATGGTTGTCTGCGTTGTTGTTCCGAGCACGTTGCGAAAGAACTCGTCTGGCGGATCCTCGACGTCTTCACCTTCAGGATAGTCCCCGTCTGCTTCGATTCGAACAATGAGATTCGAGCCACCGAATTTGTAGCGGATGACGCGGTGATGACCCTCGGCTTGCTGTAGTTGAAGATCATCGGTCGTGAAGGCTGTCTCAAAATTGCGCCCGTGGCCGGTGTACTGCTTCGTCTTCGCCTTTGACTCCCTTCGACTGATGAAGAGCGTGTTCTTGACAATATCGAGATCCACGTAGAATGCTTTCCCGCGCTTGAAACTTGTGAACTTGTACAGATTCTGTAGTGTGTTGCGATTGACGACAATATCGACATCGTTGCAGCGTACGGCGGGGGTTCATTGTAGCAAGTGCTTGGAAGACAGGCTCAAATTGATGCCTTGGCACGCGATGGCCATGCTGATCGCACCAGTGAAAGCTCATGTCCTGAGCAAGCCGCTTCGGTAAGGCTGGAGGCGTCTACTTTGCGGGTGTGCCAGGTACGTATATAGTGGTACTTGTAGTCTGCTTCCATAAGTAGCTGCAGAGGAACTCGTAACCACCCTTAGATGTGACAGGCTTAGGAAGGACTGCTTAGGACTTCCCAATGTGCGATGAGGTGGATTCGCTTCCCTGCAATCTTGCTCATCCAGGAAGGATCTTTGAACTTCTGGCGTGGGGGCAGCTCCTCTCGTTCCTTTTCACAAACTCTCAATCGAATCTGAATCATGCACAGTGAGTTGAAGATCAGCGCTCGATGTAGCTGGTAGTGCACCTAACGTCGCACAACTCTCAGCAGCGGCTTTCATGGCGTTCCGAGGTTGGTAGTCGGAAAAGCAGTAAAGGAGCAGAGCGGTGGTCTAGTCTTTGCGCTGGTTCAGGTGAAGTTATATCACAGGCAGTGATATCGCTCTCACTTTCACTGCACACTTGATGGGCCAAGACTCCAGTAGACCAGGCGTCTGTTCCCAATCATCCTTGCGACTCATTATCGCACGGTCCAGGTCTCTTAATCCAAGTGTGGCGCAGAATATCCGGGAAGTCGTCGAGCTGTAAAAGCTCTACCGCAAAGCAACCGACTCTTTCGTAAAGCTCTTTGTTATCTCGCTTGTGCATGATGGGCATACCATGAGCTCTGATCATTCTGGAGAGCGCTGATTCGGTCTGAACTTTGGCCTCATCTGTGGTATTCGAATGGTACAAAGAACTGAGGAGGTTGAGTCTGCTAGACTCTAGGGTGCTACTGTTACGGCGTTCAATTGCACCTAGAGTCATGGCAAAAAGGAATTTAGGGCGCTTGAATATCTGATTTTTGCAGAGTCTAGGTCTTCATCACTTTGATGCCGGCAGCGATTCTGCACTCGACTACCCCCACGAGCCTAGAGACGGTTGGCTGCTTAGTATGTACTTTGCAGCAGCGCAAAGACAACAGCGGTGATACTGGAGAAGCAGTCGCATTACGCGAACGCACGTGGATCTAGAAATCCATATGCACGTGCACCCATATTTGCGGTCGCGCTAAGTCACGTGGCCCACTCGGCACCGGCAAAAACCTTCACCCACACCACTACTTCCAGCCCTGGACCTCCACAGCACTACGAGAGCGCAAAAACAATGATTCCGTCACGGGGAATCGAACCCCGGCCACATCGGCGCTTGCTAATGAGAGCGATGTATCCTAGCCACTAGACCATAACGGATGAGTTATTGATGCAAGATTCACTATCTTTTCATAATAT